CCAGCAGTTAGTAGTAGACCTATTATGTGACATTCCCCACATTTAGAGGAGATGATTTGCGGAAACCTGAGAAGATAGCCAGGAATCTCTCCACAGACGTAGACTCCAGTTACTTCTCTGTAAGATTGATGTAGAATATTTGGTCACGGGTAAGCGCTCCGTCCGTGGTGTGGCCCCAAACATCACTCTCCGTCATGCCCTAAAATGAAAATCAGAGTTTTTGCTCTTCCAGATGACTCTACAGAGCTGAGGGGTGCACCGTTCGATTTCCCATGAAAAATACTACCGAATGGTGTACAACTCAGGTTTCACACAAAACTTTGTTTTTCTCACTTTTTTGCTCCCCATTGCCGATCGTCCTCCCAGCCCTTGGCGCCACGTGCGATTTAGCGAGAAATTCTCTCCACCGACGTGGACTCCGGTCACTTGTCTGTAGGAAAGAGGTAGAATATTTGGTCACGGGTAAGCGCTCCGTCCGTGGTGTGGCCCCAAACATCACTCTCCGTCATGCCCTAAAATAAAAATCAGATTTTTTGCATTTCCAGATGAACTCGCAGACCTGAGATGTGCCCCATTGGATTCCCCGTGAAAAATGCTATCGAATGATATACATTACTCCTCCCAGTTGAAACTTTGGTTTTTCACCGTTTTCGGCCTTTTCCTTATCGCCGATCGCCTTCCTCAGCCCTGGCCACCCACGTGCTATTCACGTGCGGAGCGTGAGAGCTCACGTGACAGCCGATGGCCTTTCTCGGTAGCTGGCGGGCAGCCCGATCGATACACCGCTATGCGTGTCGAAAGTGCGTGGGAAAGTCACCACGCACCGCGCACGTGAATAGCACGTGGGTGGCCAGGGCTGAGGAAGGCGATCGGCGATAAGGAAAAGGCCGAAAACGGTGAAAAACGAAAGTTTCAAGTGGGAACTGAGATGTATATCGTTCGATAGCATTTTGCATGGAGAATCGAATGGTGTACACCACAGCTCCGTAGAGCCACCTGGAAGACCAAAAAATCTGGTTTTTATTTCAGGGCATGACGGAGAGCGATGTTTGAGGCCACACCAGGGAAGAAACACTCGCTCAAGCCCGAGTGTATCATCTTTTTCCAACATACAAGTAAACTTACTCTACGATAGGGAAGAGAGTTCGTCCCTCCCTTCTCGAATTTCCTCAAAACATCCCTTCGAAAATTGCGGAAATGTCACAAAATGGATCTAGTGGCAGGTAAACTAGATGTTCTCCAGAAAGTGAGTTGTATACCGTTCGACAGTATTTTTTATGGGGAATTGAATGGTGCACATCTCAGTCTTCTATGTTCATCTGGAGAACCAAAAAAATCTGATCATATCGCAAGGGCATGACGAGGTGTGATGTTTGGGGTCGCACTACGGAAGGAAGACTCACCTGCCACCAAGGTTTCTATGTAATTCCTACAGACAAGTAACCGTAGTCTACGTCAGTAAAGGAAATTTGTCGCTGCCTTCACAGCTTTCTACATAACAGCTGCTCTAAACATGGAACAAAAAAAGTTGAAGTTGTCGCAAAAAATGGGGCGAGGTGTGATGTTTGGGGCCCCACTACGAGAATGAATGTCATATTCGTAATCAGGGCATCGAATTACCCCAATAGGCAAAGTTTCGACGAAAAATGAAACTTTGAGATTTTGGGATAGTAATAGTGGAATAATGATGCGCAATTGGCAATAGGGGAAGGCTGAAAACGGTGAAAAACCAAAGTTTCAACTGGGAGGAGTAATGTATATCATTCGATAGCATTTTTCACGGGGAATCCAATGGGGCACATCTCAGGTCTGCGAGTTCATCTGGAAATGCAAAAAATCTGATTTTTATTTTAGGGCATGACGGAGAGTGATGTTTGGGGCCACACCACGGACGGAGCGCTTACCCGTGACCAAATATTCTACATCAATCTTACAGAGAAGTAACTGGAGTCTACGTCTGTGGAGAGATTCCTGGCTATCTTCTCAGGTTTCCGCAAATCATCTCCTCTAAATGTGGGGAATGTCACATAATAGGTCTACTACTACTGCTGGAAACTGTTCGAAGATTCTCATTTGGAGTGGAAGAATGGGTTGATCAGCGCACGGTTAGCCAATTAGCGCTCTAGAACGAATTAAAGATCGTGAAATTCGAAAAAAAACATTCATTCAATCTCACCATATGGTGGACCGGTTGGGTACGTGGCGTATTCTGAGGGTGTTGAGATCCATGTTTCTGTGGGATGATCAGGCTGCATAGGAGGACTTATATGCGCATCACATACAAAGTATATTCATTACTTCTCGGGATGGAGGTCGAGTGCATGGCGCAATCCTAGATGGAGCTCTTTCAGAAATTGAATTTAACCATCTTGTAGATCTCGAGCAGAGCTATCAGATGGTATAAACTGCAGGTCGAGCGAACCATTTTTTAAAGAGTTATGGCGAGCCGACGGTTTGCGACGGTTTCCGACCGTCGCAAACCGTCGATTGAACAAAAATTAGTAGCGGTATTGTATCTTACAAACTCCAACAAACATACGACCCCCCCCCGTTAATTACTAAGAAACAACGTAAGGCGTTTGACCTTTGTGCCCTTGTTTTTTTCTATGGATCTTCTATCATCTATGTTGTAGGTGTTCCACACTAAATCAGAGTATTCGTTTTTCATTGTCAGAAATGCTGCTTTCACCGCAGTTCGCTATGAGAAAATAATCAAAAGTCGCTTTCCAGGCAGTAGTGCTACCGTATACATCACCGGGGCACCGCTTTATTTTAGCCCAGCTAAATGTAGGATATTTACGATGCTAGCGATTCGTTTTATTCGCAAAGTCTGACATCGACCTAACCCAGCAATTCATGTGAAAAAGTGTAATTTGATGTGTCGCTTCATTTCGATTAGTAATGCCATCGCCTAAGCCATAGGTTTTGGGTCACACATATTGAATGGTCATTGTTATCCACTTGCTGGAACAGGTTCATTGAATACCAGTAAACGGAAACCAGTAATGAAAGGGGATCACCTGACGTTTCTTTTCAAATCGAATCAATTATTGCGAAGTTGTAAATGAAATCTGGTATTTTTCTGCACAGAAAAAAATGTAGTGGTTACCTTTAAGATAATGTTACAGTTCTCCTTCTTTCTTTTCATCACTTTTTCCATGCTACTTTCACCTTGAGATTTGAAGGGAACGCCGCCGCGCGCTCTTCTAGCGGCGTCAGCGTGGCAGCCGATAGCGGAAGGCGGGGCTTGGGAACCAGGGCGTGGATGCGTGATTGCGAGGCGCGCGAACTTCTACCGCCTTTGCCGCCCACTTTGAAGCCGTAAGGGGCCACGGAATCAACGCTTGTCCGTTTCTCTACCACAACAGGGTATTGAACAGGTGAACACGTAATCCCAGACCGTCCCTTCAAACCTATGTATCCTTTTTCTGCAATTATTCCGATGTAATTTATTTCGAATTCTCAACAGTGACTTATTCTCATGGATTACAGCGGCTAGGAACGGCGCGATTCTTTTCAGACACTTTTTTGCGTGCATTTCTGAGTTCGGCTTGCTACTGGACCGCAACGCAACCGCACGTGTCCTGGCAGGAGGCTTACTTCGTCTTGAAATGGGACTGCATAATTAGCTAACGTGTTTTATGTTGCAGAATGCTCATTCTCTTGTTGCTCCTCGCATACAGCGAGGCGCTCATGCACATCCGCGACCCATCCACTTGGAAACCGATCAGTCGATTAGAAAAGGCTAAAGCATCGCCGTACAAGTGGACTGAAGAGTGGCTCGATTCGGTGCCCTTGGATCACTTCGCATTTGCCAACAAGGATCAATTCAAGCTGCGGTTGGTTGGGAATTTTCCTGTAGATCAAGTTCCTTGAACATCTTTTTCATAAATTTTTTTGAAGATATTTCATCAATACCGAGAACTACGAAAAAGGAGGCCCGATATTCTTCTACACAGGAAACGAAGGAAAACTGGAAGGATTCGCTGAAAATACGGTCAGTTTGAACAGAAGAAGGGTCTGTTCCAGTTAGGGGGCATCATGATGCAGTTTTTCCAGAAAGCTAGGGTAACTCCGAGCCAGGGGGAGTGTAGCCAGTCTAGGGGGTGGGGGTGAGGGCAGTCACTTGACATGCGTGAAAAGCTGGAATGTTCGAGTTCACACTAGTTCGCCGAGAAACTGCATCATGATGCCTCCTCCTAACTGAAATAGACCGCAGAAGAATTTCAAGTCAAACCTTTGACGAAATTATCTATATTTCGTGCTTTGAGCTTCATTCTATGTAAAAGTCCATACGTATTGACGGATGCGCATGTCTGATAGCGAATGGAACAGCGCCATGGCGTGCCCTCTTAACAGCGGTTCTACGATAAATGGCAGCTCAATGAAAATAAGGGTAGATCACTGACCACTGCCTTATTTGAGCTGTGGTGCAGGGATGAACAAAAACCATGAGAGACCGCCCACATCCCGAAAAGTGAGATCGTTCACTGTCCGTTGGTTTTCGCATCGATGCTGCCCTCTTCAGCGCTAACGCTCTCTCTCTGCCAAAGGGAGGGTCAGACAGCGAGAGGTGGGCGTTCCGCCCGATAGCGTCGCGGGGAGGGTCATGTTAGATTGACGGGGCATATAATTCACTGCGTTGCGTGTCGCTCCGCACCCTTAAGCGGCCCACCTGTCTTCCCACTAGGTAAGTTTCCACTTCTTCGATATTCGACCTTATCGTGGAATTCTCTTTAATCGTCGCCTATTTTGCACATTGCGCCGTTTTTGTGTGGGCAGTCGATACTGAAGTATACATATTAAAAGCTCCTAGAGACGACATAGGTTTCCTCTCCCAATGTCGCGGTGCGGTTCGCAACGAACCGGCGTTTTGGTCTTCTCGCCACGTTTCGCTATTTCCAAACTTCTCATGAAAAGGAGCGCATATTTGGCCTGGAGTTTTGCGACATCTCCAAGTTATTTTTTCTCGCTTGCTTGAAGTTTCATTCGTGTGGTTTGGTTTAAAATTGAGGAGGATAAACTAAAAACGAGGCTATAAAAGCGCAAAAAATTTTACCCGACATTAGCAATAGAAACATCAAAAAAAATAGACAGTTCCATGCCGTCTGCGAGACGCCCGACCTTTGTATGCGAACCACTTCATATATAATTTCAATTTCAGGGTTTATGTGGGACATAGCAACAAATGATCTATGCTGGCGTTTGTTTTTCGCAGAGCGATTCGCTTCCACGGAAAACGCAACCACTGAGTGCACACCAGTTACAACACTACCGATCATCTTGGATTATCTCAGTTCAGAACAAGCACTGGCCGATTTCGTGCTGCTCATCGATCATCTCAGACAGAAGGTAAACTTCACTTCGCTATGACATCATACAACGGATCCGGGCTTGGGTCAAGGGTTGGCATAGCGCAGCTGGCATTGCGCATCGCGTGTTCTTGTGTGGTTGTCACTTTTGCAAAAGCGTATCTTGGGACGAAAGTCGAACGCACGGCGCAAACTGTCGTCATTGATCCATGTCGAGTATCATTCCAAATTGCCTTTTTCAGAGGCTATCTGGTGCCGAGAACTCTCCGGTTATCGCTTTCGGCGGTTCTTACGGCGGGATGTTAGCTGCATGGATTCGAATTAAATATCCCCACAAAGTAGCTGGGTTAGCGTTCCTGCCTCTATTTTTTATCCAATCACTTAATCTGAGCCACACTGGTACCCTAAAAAATCTTGTTTCAGGGCGATCGCAGCGTCAGCACCAGTGTTCTGGTTCGTTGACTCACACGTTCCAGAAGATATTTATGCCAAGGTAAGTGATTTTCGCTTTTCTTACTGCGTTCCTAAGCACCGATCCACTCAGCGAGCTACGCTGTGGCCATACGCATCTCGCAAGGGAGGTCGCTCAGTGTGCCAAGCTTTTTCAAAACGGTTTTTGTGTTCTATATAGGAGCACATGTAGGAACTACAAAACTACGCTTCATTCTTCCTAAGTGACTCTTTAAACACTAGAAAACTGTCGAAGAAGAGCTACTTTGGGAACCGTCGTTTTTACTGCTTCATTGTGGCATTTGTCCAGCTATGTGCTTAAGGAAGTGTTATGGTTTCATAAGGAATTTCGGTGCCAGAGTGTCGAAGACCCAATGGCCCTGGGGATAACGCGATAGTTGCTAGTTGGCACGGTGTGGGGTGAGGTTGCTGATTCGACTCCTTGCAGCGTGCGCTTTTCGCATTTTTGGCTTGCACTTCAGCGTGAGTGCCAAATGATACTGTCTCTATGATAGACTCCATATTCATGCTCAGGGTCATAAAAAATACCCATTATGATGAGTTTTCTCCGACACTTGAGAGAAACACGTTGCGGCCCTATGATGGCGCCAAATTGCGCTGGCGCCAGAAAAAGAATGCCATCTTCGTGATCAGGGCGCTGATCTAACCCCAACACCAAAGTTTTGGGGAAAATCGAGATTTTGACTCGACTTCGAAAAGTTGGATCGGCCGCAGGGACAACTAAACGTGTGTCTCCAGACGGCTTGGAGGCGTCTTGGACTGAAAATTAGGTATATCCTTCAGTGATAGACGGAAATCGATGTTTTGTCTCTATGGAACACGTCTCACACTTCGTTGCGTTCTTTAGAAGTCGATCTAGCTACCAACAAGAGGTATAGCCAGTGGCATGGCTAAAAATTCCCAACACCTTCGTATAGCATACATATTCTGACGGGAGGAGGAGAACCTGGCGATCTCGTTTTCATCGTGCGTGGTCCCTCGGTCATACCAGTCTTTGCCACGGTTCATTATAGTTGGAGATTTCTCACACTATCTATGAGCAGAATTGCTAAACAATGACAGGAGATGTCGTAAATCCATCATCGTTAGGGCCTGCACGCTATTTTGACTCACTATGGTCTAATTTGAAAACTGGTAAAATCTTATTTTTTTCTGAAGCTCGAGATTTGGAAGGATTAGCCAGAGGACTGATACGATTATGACATGCGTTCTTGGTCGTGGACATCATCTGGTGCCGCTATGACGTTTATTGTGGCTGAAAAAATGGGTGTCATTTTCGTGTCACGAATTTCATTACCTTTTCTATAAAGTTATAAGCTGATGTATGAATATGACATCAATCTTGGCGCTAACTCCATTTTGCGCGAATTTTGAAACGTCAACTCGAAATGCAAAAATTTGTCACCACGAGGAATCGAACTAGGGACCCTTTTCTTTTTGGTATTCAGAGGGCCGTTCAGGAAAAATGAACCATGGTTCTGTGGTTCCCGCATGTGCCCCAATATCATGCAAGAAACCATTTTGAAAAAGCTTGGCACACCCTGAACGACCTCCCTCGTCACACCGAACACACATTATGGCGACATTATCCATGATTTCTAGCGCCATCATCTTATGCTCTCTCAATCCACCACTTCTTTCCTTTCTTTCTTTGATTTCGCCTCCCAACCTCTAGACTTTGATTCTTCCCTATTTTCTCTTTTTTTTTGCTTGCCTGGGAAGAAGGTGATTAGTGGCCAGCGGCACCGTATACCACGCGCACTACTGGGAAGTTGGATCAGTGATTGAAACCCATCTGTACTACCGAAACCTTCAATCTCGCAAAGTCCTGACACCTTTAAGAGAGACCATAATCCGATAAAAACATGACTTCTACATTGGTTGGATTCTTTAAGGGTCTTTGGGCCGAGTTGCATTGAAATTCCACTATGATTCTCATTTTAATTAGGATTTCTGGCGCATCTCAAAAAGAGGCTGACGCTCAATGACGTATCTTTTCGATTCAGATTCTTTTTCCATTGCCATTTTCACCTGCTGTATCCGGCCTTTTATCATTTCTCTCTTAGGTTTTCTCCTTTCGTACTTTATTTGGATCGCCGGAGTATCTGCCGTCGTTGTTAAGCCGGCGGAAATGAAGCACGAGTAAGTGGCGCTGTCCCACTTCCCGCATTGAATACCGAATCTAGCACCGCACAGACTGAGCGAATTTTCAATCCCTCTGAGTCCCGTCAAGTGGTAGCAGACTCGACTTGACTTCTTGGGAATATGAAAGAAATGGTATGTACAGTACAGCGGTCGATGGAAGTCGTTGTAATAACCAGTTTCGAATGGAAGACAGATCCGGGCGCATCCTGAAAATAGCTTACTTTTTCGACCAACAACTGATTTTTGATAATCTTGGATTTTTCAGATCGTCACTCGGTCATTCCTTGGTGCTGGTTGCAACCGTAAAGCTATCGAGAAAGGATGGCGTGCTTTGAAGAACCTTGCAGGAACAGGTATTACTTTATGGCGTGACTGTATCTTTTAGATCGTAGAGAAAGCCTAGTTTACGTCCAAGCCCTTGCATTCTGTGGTTCGAGAATTTGAAAAGATGTAGCCGCTTAGCTGAGCGGCTATCTCAGGGCTTGAAGGAATCGTCTATCAAAAAATCCTGATTCTAACTCACCCAAAAATCACTAGTTTGGGACCCATAATTCACGATAACAAGGAACAGAAGAAATTAATTGTGCTTGTTTTCCTTACAATTCAAAAACCGAAGGACGTTACGCGTTCAAATTCCCGCCGTTCATCTGTCACAAATGTGGCGAGGGGAATGATTTGACTTGGTTCTCGGGCTGCCTCTCCTATGAACTTTTTTTGGCCTTTTCCACCTATGACAAAATATTTCTTTTTCCTACTCCATCCTACCCTATCGCTCGTTTTGTCTCCAAACTCGAATGCTTTATCCGATTCTTTCATTTCATCGCCAAATACGTGGCTGCCCCAAAGCACACTTCTTTCCATGATTTCGCTTGTCTCCACCTGACGTACCCTCGACCGTCCATAGTGTGATCCTCCTAAGTTTGTTTCTCTTCGGAAACTGAACCTTGTTGCGTGAAACTTTGTACGTTATTTCTAGTGATCACATCTGACATTTCTTCATTTAAGGAAAATGAAAGAATTTCCCGAGACGATTCCTTTGACTAAACGTATGTCTGCTACTATTCCTTTCAGACGACGGCCGTGCCTATTTGAATGAGCTATTTCATTTGGAGGAGAAGTCTCGTATGTCTTCCGGTGACGATCACAAGTTCCTTGCTTCGTTTGTTCGCGAAGTGTTTGAAAGCATGGCGATGGTGAACTATCCGTATCCAACCGAGTTTCTGGCACCGTTACCGGGATGGCCAGTGAAGGTATCGAACTGATTTTTTTTTTTTTTGAATAAATCAAGAAAACAGTTGGCACCCATATGGTCACGACCCGTGGAATTCGGGGAATCAGCAAAAAATGAAAGCGTGCAGATGATAGAAGGGGTATACGGCTTCAACGACGAGAGAATCACCGATTCCAATTTTCCAATTCAACGCCGGCGACCGTACCCAGGTTTGAACTGGAGACCTTCTCTCATTGGCAACATCCCTCCCCACCATTTGACTTCTTTGGTGGCGTTTTTTTAACACATTGCGGACCGCCCTTATACGAGCATCTCCATACCTTTTTCATGTTTTTGAAAAATGAATCATCATTAATCTATCAACAATTTTATCAGTGATGATACTTATGCTTTCCTGGTTCTGAAAATGAGTGCAAGCACTTAAGGAGCATTGAAAAATGCCAAATAAATCAGGTAAAACTATGACTTTCCGCTCCAAATCGTGCGCCACATGGTGGCGCACGTGGTACGCAATGTGTTAAAGGCCGGGCCGCCGCGGTTCACACATGAACCACACTGTCCAACAAGGCGCGTTTCCTTCGGAACTCGCGATACGAGCCTGCAACGCATATTTTTTGTTTTGGCTGTTCAAATAATACCGCAGATCTCAGCTTAGTAGTCTGGTAAAGGATAAAGGATAAAGCATTTGCCGTTGATCAATCCCTTTTTGGGATGCGGCACGCATTCTACTTCCATTTGTACATTCGTAGTGGCGTTTGAATGCGATGTGGCCTATACAATGACTTGCGGGGGCCAGCCGATGTACAAGTCAGTGTTTTATCCTCCCAGACAAGTCTGGTACCAATTAACCGACCCCGGAGGGATGGAAGGCTTGGTTGGCCCGGGCGACTCACGACCCAGGATTTGATCCCCGGACCGCTCGCGTGGTAAGCGTGCCACTTGCCACTACACCACTTCCGCCCTGATACGATGAAAAACATCTACATCGGCCAATTTCTCCGGTTATCATGTAGGACAGAGTACCCATGCCTCATCCTGCACACACTGACTGAAGAGGTTAGTCGACGTGTACAGAATCCCTCTAAGGTTTTGAATGGAAGCCTGATCGTTGGCGAATCTTGAAGTAAAAAATCAAGTTGGGAGCTTCATCACCTTCTAAGATTTCATTTTGAAGCATTTTCAATTGATTGCTATGGTCCATGAAACGAAACTCTTTGACTTCATTTTCAGGAAGCTTGTAAATTCCTAGGAAAGGTGCCGAACACGGACGAAGA